GGTTTCTGAGAGCGCCTTCTGGTTCAGACTTTACAAGTCACGTAAATCTCTGTGGGATTTAGTTATGAAGTAAGGTTGTCAAAACTAACATAACATATTTTTTATCTTTCTAAGCTTCAGCTTTTTAGTATTTGAGCTAGCTCATATAAAGCCAGCTGACATGTCCCTGTACTGCATTCCAGTTATGAGGTAGATATTCCTGGAGGTGTTCCTTGCTGTGCTGTTGGCTGGGTTGTAGCCAGCTTGAACGCTGAAAACCTAACCTGGGTGCAGATGATTTTACCTCTCCGAGCAGCAACCAGCTGTGATTACATGAGCTCCTTTTCAAGGCTCCTCTCTCACTAGTAAAGACAAAAGAATTTAGGAGAGCCTTAATTCAGCACTCCTAAATTGGGAAGCAAACAGTCCCCACCATTTTAGTATGTGCATCAGTGTTAAGTGCTGGGTATTACCCAATATCAGTGAGTTTGCCCCTTTTTCAATAGTGTGAGAGATTGAACTGGAGGGCATGACTTTGGCCTGTCTGGGTTACCCAAATGCCTTGAGAAACAAGGCAGAGACAGTTTTGAGGGGCAAGACAGACACTTTGGAGAGGTGAAGAAAATTTTAGTGCCTCATCTAAAACTGATACAGCCACCTTGGGCTGTAAAGGACAAAGTACAAAATCTTTGCCAATGTTGGCCATGAGCACAGATTTCAGATGTATCAGCGGGAAGAAGGTCTCACCGATCCAGACAAAATCACTAGCTTGCACTTACTCAACACTGGTGAGGCTGTTCATTAGTATAGCTGTAAAAGCAATTTTTGCTAACAGAGATGCATTTTATACAGCAAAAGGGTTAAGCAAAAGCATTTACCAAACAGAATAAGCTGGCAAAAACACTTCTTCCTTCCCACACAGTATTTAGAGTAAAGTTTTGGCACTTCAGAAATTGTAAATTAATCATATCTCTGGCTGGTGTTTATGATGGGACCTATCTTTCCACCTGCTTTTCTTTAACCACCGTCCTTCCTACCTAAACCAAGTGTTAACACGTGGGTTTATAACCCGCTTCTTATATCCAGGCAAATCTCCTGTTAGGTGTGTCCACCAGCAATGCTGTGCTGGCTCCAAGCAGTTCCTGACAACAGGACAAGTTGTGTATCATATAGGCAGAGTATAAGTAAAGTCTAATGACAAATCATGGTACCACTGATTCCACAACAGCTTCCCATTTCACTTCTGGCTAAGCTTCAAGAAAAATCATGCAGGCTCAGGGTTTTGAAAACCTGTCTATAATTTCAGAGTCAAACTTCATTATAGACTGAATAAAACCATAGGAAGTGTTTAGCACTTAAACTCAAGCTTTATGAATCTGAAGCTGGATACTCAAAATCTGAGAATGTGTGTGTATATATTTTATTTTTAAAAATCCCTTTGTGGCCTACTATTCTAGAAGTAGGGTACAATAATCTACCATGCAGGGATGTCTGTGGTCTCTGCAGGCAAAAAAAAAGTAGCTGTGAACATGACAGATGATGTTCCTGCAGCCATATGAGACAAACAAACATATGGCTGCTCTGTCTGAAGTTCCTACAATGCTTTATGTCTTCAAAGTGTAGCAAAACATTGGCTGATTAACATAATTAAAGCATTTTACAAATGATTCGTAATTATTTTTGCAAATGTAAATGATGATGCTGACATGTGAAGTTTTTTGCTGTGCATGATGAATACTGAGTTCTCATTTTACTGAGTACTGTAATCAAATTTAGAACAAACGTTATATAAGTGCATAAGCAATCCTAATCCTAATCCCTTTTCTGCTGTCTCACTTTCTCCATCTAGGCCTGCTGCAGCTGTAAATCTATAAATCTCCCATATTTTGTGATTTCCTTGCATATTTTTATTTTTTGTTTCCCAATCTCCTGTCTTGTTCTGAAAGCATACATTTTTAGTTGGTAATGGTTCTAATGGAATGAGAAGCCTTCTGCCAGCTTCCTGTACTGTATATTTGATCACAGCCAAGGTCCTTTACTGATGCTATTGCTATAAGATGTTCAGCCTCACCCTGCTGAAGCATCTATTGGAAGAAATCTAGAGATCTTTAAATATTTTTTACTCTGTCCTTAGTTGAATGTCTATTGTTTTCACTTTTTTATTAGTATCAGTAGAAATTGGCCGAGGGTATGTCAACAATGCATAATTCAAAGTAGCCAGTAGATATCAAAGACAGCTATTAACAAACCAGTTGGTAATAAATCAGTTCTAGCTTTGGAACACTAAATTCCCTGTGGGCAACCTAACCCTGTTTCTGATTTTACTCTAGGATTTGTGCCACTGGTGTAATATGAAGTTGTTTCACGGGCTCCATGAAAAATGGCCAGGAGGGACAGTATCCAGTGCAGATTTAAATGCTAGGCTCAGAAAAACAAGGGAGGGAGTGCTAGTGATTTTGTTTTGTGATACATTTCCAGGAGATGTTTTGGAATTTACTGACTTAACAAATTCATCCAAAACTTTTTAAGGTAATCCCCATATCAATTAAGTAATCTTATGACAATTATAATTATTTTTTTTTCTAAATCACTTTTATTGAACTGTATCTTTTATTTGGAATATTTCTAAGGGTGCACATTAGCAAAAGATAACTATTACAGCTGAGTGGTTCATAGCATATAATTTATCCAGTTAATTTAATTTCTTTGTATTTGTCTACAAATTGCTTATAATTTTATGTAATTAATTCTTTATGTGAACCTAATTGCTAAAATAGCTGTGAGATCGTCCAGCTGATAAATAGCAGGCTTTTCATTGACTTGAGTGGGAACAATGCTAGGCCACTGGAGGTTTATCCCTCCTCTGCAGATCTTACTGAAGTTATTCTTGGGAAGTACTGAAAGAATGAGCTGTTTCACATTTGACATATTATTCCTTCTATTTCTTGCTTGCTAAAAGAGAAATCATTCTTAAGCAGAAAAAATTCACATTTATAAATTGGTGAATGAGACCTACAAATATTCTCCAATTTTTATTTTTTTTTTATTATCATACTTCCCATGAATCTATTTGTCAAAATATATCTGGAATAAAAAACCCAACACGATCACTGTAAATGTATTTACAAATTGAAATTTATATTTATAGTATTTTTTTTGGGTAATCCACACAGATTACCCAAGTTTTGCCTTGCATAACTAACCTTTAGTGACACAATTGGCAATATTATCGGATCAGAGGCTAAAAGAACACATGCAGTCCAAACCTTAGTGCCTGTCAATGGAAATAAGATCTCAGGTGTCTGTCTTCTTTTCCAGTTACATTGAGCAGTTTAATTACTGCTATTGTGTTCTACACTACTCATGCTTCTTTCACAACCAGGCATATAAGCATCACAATGATAATGGTAGTGACATGATTGCTTGTATTAATTATATGAAAACTTCAAATCTAATATGAGATTATAGTTAATAGTAAAGTTTCTTGACTGATGAATTTACTAGGTACTTGATAATTTACAGGTTCCATGGCAGGTACAACCATACCTGCTAAAATGTAAGAGAACAGCTCAGCATATAATATTTATGTTATTTGATGACGAGCCATTGCAAGCAAAACAACAGCATTTCACGTTTTTTAAGTTAATATATTTCCTTCTGTTTTGCTTATCCCCAATTTTGCTTCTTCCACAAAAAAATATATTCAAATACTTCAATATCACTGACATCAGCTGTGAGTTAAGCAACTGTTTTCTAGAAAATAAAATGGGCAGCAGTTTTCCAGCTCCACACTCCTGCCCAAGGCCTGCTGCACCAGCCAATCCTGGTCATCCAGCTGCTCCTAAAAATCAATTACAAACGCTCAATATTCCCCAAAGCATTACATTCTTCTGAACTTCTAACCTAGATCTGCTTCACCAGAAGGTAAATTTTTTTGCTTCTTATCCTGGCCCAAATATGAGGAACAATAGTGAGCAGTACCTTTGTACTATCTGAAAATAGTCCTTCTTTAACCTGCAGAACACCCAGTTTCTTTAAGTTTTTCTGATGAAATCCGTGGTTATTTTTGTTGCTCTCATCTGGACTTTATCCAGTTGGCCACCTCATTTCTGAATTGACAAGTACCAAACAGAGCTGGTACTTTAACTGAGGCCTTATCTGTGCTGCACGCAGTGGAAAAATAATTTCATTTATCTCACATGTATTTGTATAACCCATAACAAGATATGGTGTGTTTTTCCCCTATAGCTATTACACTGTTGACTCCTGGCAAACGCATGCTTTTTTTTCTGGCAGGCCAAATCAGTCACTTTATATCTAATGTTCATGCAATTATTCTTAAGTAATTCCTATTTTTTCATTGACCATTTTTTTTTAGCACCACCCAAGCTATTTATCTATTTTACCAAGATTGTTTTGAATTTGGCTTCTCTCCTTCAAAGTTCCTCCCAGGTTGTTATCATCTGCAAATATAATAACACAGTATTCCCTAATCCAAATGCTTAATGAAAATGCTGATCAGTACTGGACCCAGAACAGATTCCCATGAGAAGCAGTCTTCAATTTGCACAATGAAAATGGATTTCACCGGCACTATCTCTCATTATTAACATGGATTTGAGTTATCCTTAGAAAATAGATAGTTTCCAGTGCACCTGACTTGCATGGCTGCCCTGGAGCCTTTCTGGAGCCAAACAGGATTCTGGGTTAGTCAAAGAATTCATTAGAGAGCCCACAGATGGCACAAACAATTGTTATCGAACTGCATTAGCCCTTTGGAGAAATGCCACCCGCAAGTACCCAAAAGTGATATGGGCAAAGTACACGGTCCAAGTTGTACATTTTTAATGATATTCTGCAAGGTAAATGTATGCAGTGCCAGCTGAGTTTGCCCTTCTGCATATTGCCAAAAAGATACTGCAGGTGACCCAGAAAGCACAGCAGTGAACAGCTGAGGTTAGAGCGTCTACATCCTTGCAGCGCTTCCTTATGTTCCTTTTTCACTCCTCATTTTATTGCAGTTCCAGCTCTGGTGTTGGGCTGATGGTGTCCTCAGGACTACAGATGTCATCTGTAAAACCACCGTGAAAGCCACCCCAAAGAGATGTGTTCCTGTCTGTCTGTCTGTCTGTTATAGGTGGTCAAACTAGTAAGTATTTCTCATCAAGTTTTGGGAGAAAGACCAGAGAAATTGAGGGACTCATGGATATGTTCAAAATTTATCAACACCAACCCAGATAGGATTTACTTATTCTTAATATATTTTTCTTTCTCAAACTTACCCAACTTCCTATTTGAACGTGTGTGTCTTTGAGCTGAATAAGGAACTGGGGATTTGCCTGTGTGAAGGCAATTAAAAGGAAATTAAAGGAAACAAACACCTTCTTTTGAAGAAAAGGTGGTTACTCAGAGAAATCTGTTAAGAAAGAGTATTAACTCTTTTATTTCAGATTTGAGGATCTAATTTTCGTTCTGAGATTGAAGCACAGTACTAACAGTATAATTTAGATATCAGATTTACCTGTTCCCTTCTGCTGCCAGCCTGTATTTGGTTTCAGGGTTCTGATGTTGACTGTTAACCTATTTAAATATTCATCAACAGCCTTCTGCCAAGGTGGATTAATTCACCATCTCGGGACGCTGTCAAGCTGTCAATTTGTCAGATATTTTTCAGTTGCCAGTGCCCTTTATAGTGACAATGATGGCACACATACAGCTGAGAAACAGTTTTTCTGTTGGTATCTCCTGCTACAGAAAAGCTCTTTTTGAGTGGGTAAGGATTTGAGTGGGTAAAGATTTCTGTCATGGCAGGTCTGAAAAATAGTCTTTTAACCAGAAAGCAAGAAGTGTGTATGGAAAGGAGCTGATGGACCATCTTGTTTGATTTATGGCAGTGAGGCCCTGTAACACCGATATGAAAGTTGCCTCTGAAACTAAAGAAACACTGTCAGTTTTTATACCCACTGTATTTTTCATCCAAAACCATGAATAAAAGACAATTATATTAATCATGGAAGGATTCTGGCTGTCCCTTCAGTGATGACCAGAATTAAGCCCTTGTCAGTCTTTGATAATATACAGAATCATTAATTTATTTACTGAATCACTAATCATTAATTAAAATGTAATGTTTATTTAATATAACATTGTTTATGTTATAATTCATACCAGTGCCTTAAGAAAAGCCCAACCAGATTTCTTTTGGTTACCTCAACTTTTAGAACATCTTTCTGGGGGACACTTTAATCAGAAACATTCAAGACATATTGCTGCAGCTGATGATTAATATATTTTTCATGATGGAAATCAAGTCAGCTGCATCAAGTACACAAAGCTCCTTTTATAGCTCAAGTACTTCCAGCTTCCAAGTGAGCGTTAAAAACACAAATTAAATAAAACAGTTTTCCAAAGCAAGGAAACTCTGTTGAAATGTATAGAGACAAATGTTTATTTTTGTATTTTGGAGGCATTTAGGAGTGGTAGTCCTCCACGAAGAAGTCTACGTAAGTAACAGTGGAGTTACAACAGGGATGTAAATGAAATGAGGATGAGGCCCTTGGGCTTTAGGTCAACATATCACAGTGGAAAGGGATTTTCCCTCTCTGAGACGTATCCGATGTGGAGGACGAGCAGAACGCGCCCCAGTCTGACAGCAGGTCAGAGCCCAGGATACTTCATTGCAGCCACAAGCATCCCAGAAAGGCATCTCCAGAAAGTGGTAACCCCAACATGGCCTTTTCAAGCTCAAACATCTCTAAATGCATCTCCAAGGACATGCACACAAAGACTTAGAAGAAACTCTGGCTTTAGCGAGAGCTTTGGCTGGATATTGAATTTTCTCCCTAATTATGCAGAGGCCCTGACTCTTGACACCCACTGACTTCCAGCAGCTTCATTCCAACTCTAGCAAGAGCACCAGTTTTCATTTAGTTAAACGCAGTAGAAACTGAAAAACATTTAATCTGTGTCTAAAAAGTCTTACAGTCCAGATTAATAGCTGTGTTAAAAAAGATGAACACACACAGATATGCATAGTTAAGCTGGGCAGATAACCTATCCCATTTGCTAAAGGCAGTTTGCATGCGGTGATTGATTTCAATGTAGTCTGCAACTCTGTTGAGCAGGTGCTGTATTAGCAGATCTGTCATTAAATAAATATGACACAAATGTAATTCTACACATGGGGATGCTTTCACAAGGCTTTGGACATGTTACAAATTGGTACACGGATAGACAGTACTATATAAGATCAGATAGCTGAGGCAGCAGCCTGTACTGTATACACTTCCACTCTACTAGCAATGTAATGGTGCTGCTGGGTTAAGTGTATTATAAAAAAAGAAAAAAAGTCCCTCAAAGATCTCTATTTCCTGCAGAATAATTTATCTTTTTCTTTTCTTTTTTTTTCAGTTTTAATGAAAGCTGATCAACAGTGTTTGAATTGGAGAGAAGAAAGGAAGGAAATGATATGTGGATAGAGAGAGTCAATCATCTGAAAGATCAGTTCCAACAGATTCATGGAAATTAACCTCTTTTATCATTATCAGGCACTAGTGATGCTCCTGCAGGCCCTTGGCTACACAAACAAGGACTGGGCAAACCAGGAAAATTCAGGGGGGTGCACATTATTTTAGCACCCAAACTGAGTTCCAGGAGAAAAGCCAGTATGGTCAAATAATGATTTGTGTTTGTTTGCATTTTTTGTTCATAATTAGTCCATAGTGCTGTGAGTTGGCTGTACCAACAGTGCATTTCCTGAGGGACAACTAGTCCCCATCCTTCCAACACTGCCATTACAGGAAAGATGGTTCTGGCAAAAGTTAACAATACTTGACATAGACATTACAGAATAGATTTTTAAGTCATTGGTGTTTTATTTGTCTCAGTGAGCAGATCTGCTACACAGAGGTGCTTTTCTGAGGTACTTCTCATACACCAAGAAGTGATTCAGTTTCTCTTTAGGGTCTTCAATGGCCTGGTGAGTTGGGAGATTAGGGTTTTGTGTCTCGTATTGTTTTCATTATATTCCCACTGTTCATTTTTTTAATGCTCTCTTCAAGACCTGATAAGGAACTACAAAGTTAATTTTAAAGCATTTATTCTAGTGGTTGATGATAATGTAGCTTCACAGACCAGTCAGACCTACTAGTCTAAACTTTCTCCTGTCACAGGCCAGGGAGTTTCACTCAGTATGTGCCATACGCAGATCCTACTTTTTGGTGAAAGTAGGTATTTTTAGTCTGGGATAGAAAAAAAAAATCTATTATTTACTTAATGACTTCAAACAAGAAGCAGCCCAGTCCTCTCTCATGTTGCAGTGTTCAATCACATCTTTGTTAAAGATGGAGGCAAGACTATTGTTAATTGGATTTAAGGTATCCACTGGATTTCAGAGTCCATTATTATCAGATATCTTATTTATGTAAATATTTACAAACTTCTGTCTAGTCACTGCTTTGCCTTTGTGTTACTCCACTAAAAAGATTATGCTTTCCACAATTTTCACTGGGAGATTTTTTTATTTTCCTGTTTACTCCTCCAGCTTGGTTTGCAGACAAGTAGTGCTTTGTGGGCAGTCAGATGACCAGAAGTGGAGTGAATGAAGTATTTACAGATCAAAACCAGAAAGAAAGAAGCACAAGTAAAGGCAAAACAACATTTAAATGCTTGGTGTGGGAAAACAGTAATGTTACCTGGCACGTCCTGGCAAGACCAGGGATTTAATGCTGCCGAGACCCAGCTGCCGTGTGGTGCACGCTGCTGAGGGGGTTTTGCAGAGACCTCACCCCACAGCAGTTTAGAGGTGAAATACTCTTTGAGATTCTGGTATAGGGGGAGGGACGGGGAAAGAGAGAGAGAGAGAGGGAGACAAGCTTTCCAAAGTACCCAGTTGAGGTGCTGTGAGCTGGACCCTCTGGGACAAGCACAAGGTGATGGTTTTGCAGCAGGGAAAGATGGCAGGAGCTGCCCAGACTCGCTGGTGCTCTGCTCTCATCTTACACCGGGGTTGGAAGAGGACTCAAACACCTATCAGGCTCACACCTGACTGTCTTATTTATTTATTTTTTTGCTGTTAGCTGGGCCAGTATAGAGAATACAGAGCAGGCCCAGGACTGCACTTATGTCAGGCACATCCTGCCGTTGCAGCTGCGGTGTGAGCCGGGTGAACCCTCACCCCTGCGGCTTCCTCGTGCCTCTGCACAGGAAGCACAACAAGGATGTCACACCCTAAAACCAACCCTGTCCAACAGTCTCCTGACACCAACATAAGTGCCACCTCCTCCAGGGAGGGACGACAGGTTGCTCCCACACCTCGGCAGCCCTGGGTGTACCTTGGTGAATCCGGCTTCTCCTCCTACTGCATGTGAGCTCATTAGAAACACCCTGCTGCTGGAAAGCAGCAATTCACAGTGGAGATGTTTTACAGGCACAACTGTGGCTCTGGACCTGCCCTGTCATGTCCAGGTTGGAGTGGGGCTCACCCTCCCTGGCTCGCTCCGGTGCAACCCTGAGTTTCAAAAGGGAACGGAGAAGGAACACAATTTTTAAGAGGCAGAGAAGTAATTGAGTAATTGCCTTCACAGTTACATGCTCAGCTTTCTACTGTTTGCACAAATGAATCACAAACAGGAAGATTGATACCACGGGAAACCTTGGGCTACCTCTCGAGGCAGAGATAATCGTTCATCTCATGCTCAGGCAGTCAGTAAACAAACAATAGCGCTTTACACTTCATTTGTCAGCCTACAAGGCACGGGTTGTGCTCATGTTTTATCTCTGCATTCGTCTTACACAGTGCTGTCATGCAATTTGCACTGATTTTTTTTGAATTAGCAATAATTATAAGTAGAAACACACCACTGAGTAAATTATAGAGTCACTTGCCATTTCCCCAAGCAGCACACTGCTGCTCTCTGCTTCAGTTCTTATACTCATCTGCACCTGCTACAGGGAAAAATTCAAGATGACGCAAATTCAAAATATAATCAAAAGCAAGCTGAACCAGTCCAGAGAAAAGTGGTCAGAAACATTTGTGCTTTACCAATACTGTACTATGAGCTGGACTAATCAGCTTTATCTGCATTTTTCAAGCTACATTTTCAGATCCTTGCTACAAATACCTGAATGATATGGCAAGAAGATTTTTTTAAGTTTAAAGCACAGTGCCAGTCACTTGCATTTTTGTAAAAGTGTTGATGTCTGTTTGCTTGCCCCAGCAAGGTCCTAAGAGCTCTCTGGTAATTTCTGAGAACTCAGAAATGTCACAGGAGGACAAGCCACTCCCTGTGTGCAGTAGAGATCACTGCTTAGTGCCACTCAGCATCTAAGTAGAAGAGGATGACACAACATTCAGCTTTGGGGAATGCAAAACCCAAAGAGACATTGGCTCTAGTTTGCCAATGGTCCTTCTCTGAGGACCATTCTCAGGAGCACTGAGTGATTCCTGGCACCCTGAAAAGCTAATATAAATATTAATGGCATCAACCAACACCTCGGGACTGAGGTGATGAATCTCTGTTCCTGTCACATCATAGACTGTACAAATAGGGCATGATCATTTACTCTGAAGTGCCTGAAATAACTCAGGAGTCTCTTCCAGCCATTTTTGAATGCCTTTAGAATTCCAGCCGTTATTCTCACAAGAAACTGCATTTCTTCAGCCTGTTCTTTGTTTCTGGTCCCTGAACACGATCTCCACTCAAATACAGTCTCAGTTTCAAAGCCTATGGAGGACATAGTTCTTCCATAAAGCATCTGTAGGCTGCACAATATCTATAAATTTCAGTATGTAGCTTGGAAGCCAAACACAGGTAATGGAAACAAGGACACTTTTATAGGCATGGGCTTATAATAATTTAAAACCTGCATACCAAATGGAACAACAGAACAACTAAGACTCTCTGATTTACATTGTCTTCTTTCAACACAGCCATAAGTAAGCACAGTCAAAAATCATAGTCAGGAAAGTATGAGACAGGAGTGAAAAGTAGTTATGATATCCTATGCCACTTGTTGGCAGCCAATACACTGGGAAAAATGTTTAATATTGTCAAAGGAAGAGCTCACGTGGGGATAGCAGGGATTACTCTTTACCAGCACATCTTCAGCTCAGCCTATACAAATAGAAGTCTTGGCTATATCCACAGCTTGGCAGAATTTCTGCAAGGAAGACGCTGTCTTAAAGGTATCCATAAACCAGTTCTGAAAGCTGATTTCATAGAAACATTTCTCTGTTGAGGAATATTTCTATAAAGGGCTTGGTGCTGTGGAATGAGATCCACTCATTTTTTCAAATAACAGATGATCCCTAAAGTGTCCTGCTCTTCTATTACTGCACCTTAGTGTCGTGTCCAGTGCCTGTGCCTATTTATTTCCTATACTGTGATGCTCCAAAATCTGTTAGTAAGCTCTGCAAAACTGATATATGTACACATATCAAATGCATCATATTGGATCATCAGTAAGACCACAGTCCCCTCCAGTTCTACTGGAACTCGAGAAAACCAGATCCCACTAATGCTGTTACCCTGTTGTCAGCAATACAGAGGTAAGAGCAGGATCAAGCCTAAGACCTTGGCTTATAAGGCTCTTTATAAAATAATCACTCTGCTGAAAGGCTTCAGTGAGCCCAGTCTGGTATTACAATAGACTTTCTTACAGCCTCCCTCGCTTCTGGCCATTCCTTATTTATACCACTCAAATTACTTGGCTCATTAGTCTGCCATTCTAATATAAGTCCAGTTGAGTTTAGTTTATTTACTGTTTGTTAACAGCCTTTTCTTTTAAAAACAACATGCATTTGTCTGTATTTGCAGAAATCTGGAATAGAATGGAAGCAAGGGAGTAAAAAAATCCATCAGGGCTTTTAAAGACTTTAATCATTCACATGAACAGCCAGATGACTGCAGTCATTCAAAATAAAAATAAAATCAAAACACACAGACTTCCCTAGGCAAGTGGATAGCTCTTAAAATGACTAGCCAGATAAAGGAACAAGCTAGTTAAAAGAATATTGACTGAACCATACTGCTTTTAGAAAAACTGATAATGAGAGAGAGCACGGAATAAGATAGAAGGATCTTCCAAGCATTCTGGCTGCACTGAAACACAACAAAGCAGATTGCTTCCACTAAGGAGGCTTCAGTTCTTACTGTTCTTCTTAAAAGGGTTGTGTCACCAGGATTTATTATTAAGGTGGACATAAGCTTGCCAAGGCACTCAGCTTTATGTTAAGAGGCCTCAGTGCAGACTTAAGGTACTAGTTTGGTATTGTGCATAACTTCAAGTAGATGCTCAGCTTCAAGCTCTGTTGTTGCCTCTGTTGATCCTAATGAAATCATCAATTTAGATTGCCTACGTTGGTGTGGCAGCATGAACTGGAGCCACTGAATTAGGGGCTCATGCCCTGCTCAATATGTGTGGTACATCCTGTCAGGAAGACCATGTCAACACACGGGCAATTGCTTCTGAAACCCTTGCAGATGGCTTCAAAGGACATATGTTAGAGAGCTGAGTCTGGGCGGTTGGATTTGAAAACTGTGGCCTAAACAAATTGTTTAAAGGAGTAAGGCAAATATTCCATGCTAAAATTTTTGCTGTGACTTTTCATACGGGGATCTGTAGCAGGCCAAGTTCTGTTAGAAAAAAACAACAACAAACCTATCTCTAGACAACTTCAGCCAGTTCCAAGAATGGAGCTGGGAAAAAAGAAAAGGCTGTCTGCTGCAAGGCAGCCACTTCTTTGCAAACCTCCTGGTGCAGAGGCTTGGAAAATGGAATAGGGTTCACCAAGCCATAGGTGTGCCCTTACACCAGAGACAGCTAAAAGCAAGAATTAGGGTTTGTCATCCTTGGCAAGTGTTTAGTTTCACACTGATGGATTGTTTCAATTAGTAAACCACGATCATTTAACGTTGTACAGAATCTCACATGATGAGCTGATGGAAACACCAGCTCCTACCTGATAACTCCTGTTACATCTCTCGTGTTACGCAAGATGTTGCTTTATGGATTCTTCTGTGTAGTACTACATCCGATTGAATTACTTTACCAAAGTGCTCTTAACAAAATGACAATGCAGCTAGGTCAGGATAAACTAAAAATATCTTCTAGAACAAGCTATTGGAAAATTAATTAGTTTTGGGTCTAACCCAGTATTCACTGCACTCCATGGAAAACCATCCACTGGTAAGCACAAGGAATGGCAGACCAAGCCTTTGCAGGATTCTTTAGCCCTGGCCAAATTATTACATAAATGCAAATCCAGGATAGCACCAGTAAGTAAAGAACTGAT